GTCCAGAAATTTAAAACAAAATTAAATCTCCAAATGGTTACATGGAATGATAGATTGAAGCAATTTGATTTCTACGTCTTTGTCTTTACAATCACGGCACTACATTTTTTTTTATTTTCAACCCACTGTGTAAACACAAAAATTTATAGTTTTATAAGGTTTGGACACACAGACCACCGCTGAGATGGGCTGATCTGATGTATGACATGGTTACTCTCAACACAAACAGAGAGCTAAGTCCATGTGTGCCTGGGGTGATTATATAACCAGGCCTTCTCTGAATTAGTATTTGTGCAGAATCCAATACATTTTACAAAATAAGAAGTTAAACTTTTCTTCTTTGAAGGTTGCATATATATACCTTTAAAATTCCACAGTAAACCACAGCAGTGTTTTAGCACTTAGACCAACAAACGATTTTGTCCCACCCACCAGTGCAAGTGGAAAGCAGTCCAAACCTCTCATCACAAAGGTTCACTGCCCAGAACAGGCAGTGCAGGAAATGGAGCAGTCCTGGGAAGGAGAATAGAATCCTAAAAGGAAGCGTCAGGAGCCTCAAGTCCGCTCAGGATGACAGTGCAGGGCAAATCCTAGTGAGACTCTGGACCTTTGCTTTGTGGAGTGCTCTGTGCGATGATTTGGCTAGAGAACATAGCATGGAATTAGAGGGAATAGTGCTTCTGATCAAGTCCAGATACTGGAGAACTCCAAAAATAAAAAAGAAGAAAACAAGTGTTGAAAATGCCTCTGTGTGCAAATAATACTAATTACCGTCATTCATGCGAGCTAATTGCCATTTTCCCTAATCCTCATACAGCATATTAACCTTGGTCCCTATCCCCACATATGTGTCAGATTAAGTTTAATTGGACAATGTGTGCTTGGTCATCACAGTTTATAGCTCCTGTAGCCTAACCTAGCCTATCTGCCCATAGTTTTTTTTTTTTTTTAAGATTATATTTATTTATTCATGAGAGACACAGAGGCAGAGACACAGGCAGAGGGAGAAGCAGGCTCCACGCAGGGAGCCCGACGTGGGACTCGATTCTGGGTCTCCAGGATCATGACCTGAGCTGAAGGCAGGTGCTAAACCGCTGAGCCACCCAGGGATGCCCTGCCCATAGGTTTAAAGAAGTCAATGGAACATTTGTCCCCTGATTTTGTTTTCCCCCATAAAAGCTGAATTCTAGGACGCTTTGGGTTGTCCACGGTCGGGAGTCCACCGGGGCTCTCCGTGTGGCCATCCTCGCCCCTGCTGCTGAGCCTCCACCTGCTGACCCCGGCTGGCCACTTCAGGGATTCGGGAGACACCCGGTGCCGTCGTTGCGTGGCAGTCACTGAGAAGGCAAAGCCAAGGAGCTCCGCCCTCTGCATGCCTGCATTGCTGTGCACCAACTGAGATGACCGCTTCTCCCTCACTGGGCCCTGTGTATGATACCCGGAGGTTCCAGATTGCCCCGAAGTCCCGATTGCAATTATTCTGTCCCCCAATTTTTGGTTCAGAAAATGTGTATTTTTCAGCCCAGGCCCGTGTGACTGTGCAGCTCACATCACTCGAGTGGTGTGACCTGGGACACAGGGAAGGGGGCCTGGGGTGCTGGTGCCAAGCACCCTGCGGTGCTGTTCGGTGTCCCACCTGCCCTGGAGGGACAAGCAGGATGGCAGGGACAGAGGCCACGCTGCCAGGCTGTCCTGGAAGCTGGCCGCCCTCCACAGCCACGGCCCAAACCTCCGCAGGCGGACGGGGCTGCGTTCAGTCAAGTGCTGCTCCCAAACAAGGACACGGGCTGGGAAAGGGGCCCCTTGGGACCACAAGCGGTGCTTCTGGTGATGCCTGTGTTAGGCCCCGCCGGCCGCTGTGACCAGTGACCGCAGGCTGGGCATCTGAAAACATGCTATATTTATTATATCCAATTCCGAAGGTCAGACGTCCACAGTGGATCAGCAAGAGGCAGGAGAGAGAACCTGTTTCCCCGCCTTTTCCTGCTTTTAGGGGCTGCTCACATTCCTAGTCCTTGACATCAATGAAAAAAGCTTTGTAGGCCTCGCTTCCAAAGGCGATTATATAGCTTGTGGAAGTGAGAACAACTCTCTCTACTTATACTATAAAGGACTTTCTAAGACTTTGCTAACTTTTAAGTTTGATACGGTCAGAAGTGTTCTGGATAAAGACGGAAAAGATGATACAAATGAATTTGTTAGTGCTGTGTGCTGGAGGGCATTGCCAGATGGGGAGTCCGATGTGCTGATTGCTAACAGGGTACAATTAAGGTGCTGGAGTTGGTAGGAAGGGTTTACTCAAGTTAAATTGTTTTTGATCCTGCTGAAATACATCTGCAGCTGACAATGAGAGAAGATAGAAACTCATGTGATGTCTCTCCCCAAAGTCATCATGGGTTTTGGATTTGAGTATTTTTTCTTTTTTTCTTTTCTTTTTCTTTTCTCCTTCACTACTTTTGGGACATTGGGAATACCCAGTGAACTCTCCACCATCAATGTAACTCTATGGACTTTGCTGCTGTTGGTGGTGTGGTTATCTAATTTTTGTGATAGGGAAACAAATTCTTTTGAATAAAAAATAAATAACAAAAAATAAAAGTTTACTTAGCCACAGTTGAAAAAAAAAAAAACAGATTTGACCTCTGTTTCCACCTTCACATCTTCCCAGGTCCTCCCCCCTACTTTCCTTTGGGAGGACAGTTGTAATTATAGCAGGTTCACTTGGACAACCCAGGATATTGCAGGGTAATCTCTGCATACCAAGATGCCTAAGGTAACCACACCTGCGAAGCCCCTTTTGGCCCATGGTAGGCAGACACAGATTCCAGCATTGGGATGTGGACATCCTGAAGGACATGGGGGGGATTGCCCTGCCCTCCACAATGATCAGAAAATATCAAAGCAAGGAAAAGCATGCTTTAAAAAAAAAAATTTTATTTATTTATTTGAGAGAGAGCATGAATGGGGGCTGGCGGTTGGGGGAGAGAGGCAGAGAGAGAAGCAGACTCCCCGCTGAGCAGGGAACCTGATGGGAGGCTCATCTCAGGACCCCAGGATCATGACGTGGGCCGAAGGGAGACGCTTAGCTGACTGAGCCACCCAGGTGCCCCTAGGTAAAGCATTCTTGACACAGTGTTAATTGAAGCAAACTATCCAATAAAATAAAAATTTATCCAATAAAAATGCACGTGTGGAGTAGGAAATCAGGTTTAAATGTGAAATAAGTTCCGTAAAAAGAGCAGGATTGTGTGTGTGCGCTTATCACTTGCCATCACTCCACCTCTAGTCAATCATTTCCTTTAGTGGTATATTCTGGGGGGGGGGGGGAGTTGACATTTGTCAGAACACACAAAGAGAGAGATTAAAATTTTAAAAAGCAGTCAGTCTTTCCTTTATATCAACAAATAATTAAATTAGGAGTTCCATTTTCATTCCTGATTTGTAATAAGACGGAAATAAATAAATGAAGGAAAGCAAAACCCACAAATAGCCTGGTCAGATGGAAGAGTGATTGTCACTTCAATTTCACGATTCAGTCAAGTAAACAAAGGCAGTATAGCCATTCATAATATTGAAAGAAAGGGTATATGGGAATCTAGACACCAAACCCTGTATTGGTTCTTTTATTTTTTTAAAGATTTTATTTATCCATTTGACAGAGAGAGAGAGAGAGAGAGAGCGCACAAGCAGGGGGTGCTGCAGAGGGAGAGGGAGAAGCAGACACCCCGCTGAGCAGGGTGCCTAGTGTGGGGCTCCACCTCAGGCCCCGGGGATCACAACCTGAGCCAAAGGCAGATGCCCAACAACTAAGGCACCCAGGCACCCCTCACCATATTGATTTTTTAGAAATTCCGTTTATAGTCTAAATTTGTTATCAACTTTTATAACAGCTTTCTTGAGCTATATTTCACATACCACAAAAAATCATATTTTTGAAGTATACAATTTGGGTTTTTGACACAAGAATAAAAGTGCAAAAATAACTACTAATTTTAGAACATTTTAATCACCCTAAAAGAAACCCCATTCTCATTAGCAGTCACTCCTCATTCCTCCTGGCCCCTGGCAATCAATCACTAGTCCACTTTCTGTCTCTATTAATTATCTATTCTGGACATTTCACATAAGTGGAATATGTGTCTTTTGTTACTGACTTCTCTTAGTATAATATTTTCAAGGTTCACCCATGTAACATGGATCAGTATTTCATTAATTTTCATGTCTTAATAATAGTCCATTGTATGGATATCCCTCATTTTATTATCCACTCATCAATTGATGAACATTTGGAGCATTTCCATTTTTGGGGTATTATGCATAATGCTGTTATGAACATTCACGTACAAGATTTTGTATAGACGTAGTTTTCATTCTCTTCAGTATACACCTAGGAGTGAAACTGCTGGGTCACATGATAATGTCACGTTTAACATTCTGAGAAACTGCCAAGCTGTTTTCCAAAGTGGCTGCACCATTTTACAACCTTACCAGCAGTGTTCAATTTCTAGACATCCTCGTCAATACTTGTTATGATTAGACTTGTTTTTAAAATTCTATCAACCTTAGTGGGTCTGAACTGGCATCTCATTGTGGTTTTGATTCTCATTTTCCCTAATCATAATGCTACTGAAACATCTCTACATGTACTTATTGGCCATTTGGATGGCCTCTTGGGAGAAATGTCTAATCAAATCCTCTCCATTATTGTGAGTTCTTTGTCCTTTTATTGTTGAGTTGTAAGAATTCTTTATATATTCTGGACACAAGTGCTTCATCAGATGTATTGCAAATATTTTTCCCATTCTGTGAGCATGTTAATTTTTCAAAACTAAACACACTTTAGGCTCACTTATTGAAGACAATAACAATGCCAGAAAACTTACTCTGGATATTATCTTTTTACATTGATATTTTCCTCTCTATTCCTTTCTTTCCTGTCTAAAGTTCAATGTTAGCATTCTGAAGTTATTTAACATGTAATTGTCAAAGACAAATATTACCTTGACATGGAATCGTGGAGCTCCTTTCTGAGACACTTGTTCTTTTTATCTTGCACTGCAGTTTTTATTTCTTTGTATCTATAACCATCCAAAGAGAGAGAGAGAGAATGAGGGAGAGAAAGATCTTTATTTAATAAATGCTCTCATCTTGTCTGTTACTGATAAAATCGAAGATTATGCCCCATCTTGGAGCTCTAGGTAGTCCCCAAGGGTTGCTCTGTCAAAATTCCAAACAACTAAGGATGAACTTCTTACTCTATTAGGGCTGCTTTTTCTTCTGCTGCTGCTGTCAGTGTCTGCTGCTGTGCTTTGTAAACATGAAAGTCTTTTTAGGAGCCGTAATCCTTCACCGAGCAAGTGATAATCTCTGTCTAGGCCATCTCAAAATTTTAATAACCCAGAAGTTTGTATTACAAGGAACATTAACCAAAATACTTGTCCTGGAATAGAATTATCCCAGTTACTACTTTCTTTTTTATCTTTTCTTTCTTTCTTTCTTTCTTTCTTTCTTTCTTTCTTTCTTTCTTTTTTTGGCTTTGCCCATAATATCTCTGTCTATCTTCAGACATGCTATCAAATCAGGTCACTTGTTTTTTTCATGGGCTTTTCCTATGACAAGATAACTATAATATGACCTGAGATCTTTATAGTGCTTTTTCAGTCTCTGGGTCTTTGTTCAAACCTAAACTGTTAGCATTTAAGGTCCTCTCTCAATACTCTTAAAAGACATTTCGATAAAATGGTTTCCATAGCAAGATATATCCTCCCTGCCAGGTGGGAGTTATGTTCATCCTTTGGTGATCATGCAGCATGAAGTGTAGTATTTGATAAGGCCAAGGAAGAATCTTCTCTGTTGCAAAATTACTGCAAAAGCCTTAAGTTAAATTTCTCATTTGTTATTAGGAATAGTAAGGGCATATATTTGTTTTTAGGAAAAAAATACCCTGACAGCCTACATAGTTGATTCCATTGTCATTTCTTTATACTCAACTCTAATTCACATAAAATTATCAGGAAGTTCTATTCTGGCTTGTGAATTTGGTTAGCTAAATTATTATTATTTTTAAAGATTTTATTTATTTATTCATGAAGACACAGAAAGGGGGGGGCGGGGGGCAGAGACACAGGCAGAAGGAGAAGCAAGCTCCATGCAGGGAGCCCAACGTGGCACTCAATCCCGGGACTCCAGGATCACTCCCTGGGCCAAAAGGCAGGCACCAAACTGCTGAGCCACCCAGGGATCCCAGTTAGCTAAATTATTAATGAGATAACTAAGTGGATTATTGGACATCTACATAGTGAATACTATATACCTAGTATATGTCAGAACCATTAGTAACATGAAATTATGCTCATTAAGAAAGCAGGATTTAGTAGGTTCGTTTTGATAGCCATTATATAAATGAAGAAGCTTTTCAGTCATTGAAAGGATATACATGAAACTAATATAACATTGTAGGTTAACTATACTGGAATTAGAATGTGATAAAACAAAAAAAAACATTGAACGGAAATACACCAAAGTATTAATGTCCTTGAGAGTATCTGTGAGTGTTTTCTTTGTCAGTAATTTCCAAGTGTTCTGCAAAAGCAGTTTTCATTGATTCAAAGATGCCTCCTTTCACACGTTAACAGCTCCAGGATTGGGATGCACTTTACAATCACTCTCCACCAGGCAGCACTTGTGACATAATAGTCATGGTCTGTGTATAAATATCCAAACTGTAGACTACTGAGTGCCTGCAGTTTGGAAGACCATCCCAGAGTCAAGAACACTCATTTAAGCAATGTGGCATTGATAACACTCTTGTTCTCACAGAGGACGATATCACGTGGAAAACACAAACTTTGATGATCTTGTGTCAAAAATCATTTAGAGGAATTGCACTATAAGTGAAGAAGTTTTAGTACTATCTTAACCAATTTATTTTGCTTATATTTCTTTGTTCATTCTTAGGTATGCACAAGAGGGATATATGATTTTTTTAAAAAATCTGCAAAAAGTAGCCTAGAAGAATCTATTATAAAAGTCTTTTTGTTTTATTTTTTTAAATAATTTTATTTTATTTGAGAGAGTGAGCAAGAGAGTGACAGCATGAGTGGGGTGGAAGGGCAGAGGGAAAGGGAGAAGCAGACTCCCCACTGAGCAGGAAGCTCCATGGGGGGCTCCATCTCAGGATCCCTGGGACCATGACCTGAGCCGAAGGCAGACACTTAACCAATTGACCCACCCAGGCATCCCCCCAAAATGCCATTCATTCATTCATTCATTCATTCATTCATGAGAGACAGAGAGAGAGAGGGAGGCAGAGACACAGGCAGAGGAAGAAGCAGGCTCCACACAGGGAGCCACAGAGATGTGGGACTCAATCCTGGGACTCCAGGATCACACCCTGGGCTGAATGTGGCGCTAAACCGCTGAGCCACCCGGACTGCCCTAAACAGTGGTTTAATGAAATGGAAATTTATTTCTCTGTAGGTAACTATCTGTAGGTAAGCGATCTGGGGCTGCAGGAGAAAGGAAGGTGAGCAAAGAAGTATGCCCTCCAACCAGCAAAGACAGAGCCCAGGTACATGGGCCTGAATTAGGCACACAGACCCACGCAGGAGCTGCAAGGGAGGCTGAGAAATGTCTATTTTCTATATTAAGGATCAGCAAACATTTTTCTGTGAAGGGCCAGGTAGTAAATATTTTAGCCACATAACATCTCCATTGCATTTTCTTCCTCCTTCTCCTCTCTCTCCACCCTCCTTCCCTCCTTCTCCTCCTCCTCCTCTTCTTCTCAACAATTCCTTTGTGATGGTTAATTTTACTTGTCAACAGGACTGAGGGTGTAAGTGATGCCCAGACAGTTGGTGAAACATGACTCCTGGGCGTGTCTGTGAGGGCGTTTGTAAAAGAGATTAGCATTTGATTCAGTAGACTGCGTAAAGAAGGTTTGGGGAGCATCATCCAAACTTAGTGGCCCAAATGGAACAAAAAGGCAAAGGCAGGGCAAACTCTTCCTCTCCCTTTTTGAGCTGCAACTCCATATTTTCCGGTCCTCAAGCAACAGAGTTCCTGGTTCTTAGGTCTCTAACTCAGACTGAATTATGCTATCAGCTCTGCTGGTTCTCCAGGTTGCACGTGGCAGATGGTGGGGCTTCTCAGTCACCATAGTCATATGAGCCAACTCATATCTGTATACTTCTCCAGAGAACCCCAACCAAAACACAACTGTGAAAACATTCTTAGCTTGTAGGACATAAGAAGACAGACAACAGGCTGAATTTGGCCTATGCTGAACCCTCTTCCAGACAGTCACGTGCATAGCTGCAAACTTGAGTTCCATTACTGTGGAGTTGGGGGGGGGGGGTTGGGCGTGAAAATGTACTGCAGAATAACTAGCTATTTCTGTCATAGCATATTTTAATGTTACAATGTTTGTAAAAATTTAAGACTACCACTTATTTGAAATAATAAGGGAGCTGCTCAGAACATCAGTTTAAAAGGCAAATACAAAGTTTATAGAATATTTTAAAGCTCTACAGACAAAAATTAAACATGGAAAGAAACCTGGGAGTAAATTAACTAAAAACATTAATATTAACTCTCTTTGGTTGATTTGCTTCTGTGTTATTTCATATAATTTATCTTCCTATTTGTCTGAATTGTGACAATTTTATTATAATGTGTACATATGACCATTTAAGTGCAATTTTTTATTTTATTTATTTATTTTTTTAATAATAAATTTATTTTTTATTGGTGTTCAATTTTAAGTGCAATTTTTTAAAGAATAAAAAGTCAATCATTTAAAACTATCCCTTCATTCATATATAAGAATAAATCCATAGTTTTCATCTAACATGATTCATGTCATAGTGATGTATTTAAAATGCAATATCTGGTAAAATTTCAGAGCTGGAAGCCACCATATATAATATATATTATATATACTTATATATATTATATAAAATTTTTAACTTTTCAACAGTTTAGTACTAGAAAAAGGTGACTTTTATTCTTTAGTTACTATGTGCAGAAATCAGATGTAATTTCTCATCACTGGTTTGAAGGCAAAATGTTCAATAATGAAGGAAAGAATATTCTAGTCAGTGGTTCTCAACAAAAATCCACTCCAAGCTTTCTGGGGGACACAGAGGGAGAACAGCTTAAATTGGCATGGAATTGGGGATCACTGCTGACACGTTATTGGTAGGAATCCGGGAGGCTGGAACTCCTCCAGTTCAGGGAGAGTCCTCTCTCATCAGGTGGGATCCTATGTTTCATGTGACTTTCATGTAGATTAAAACCCACTGATAACTACCTGAGCTTAGAACTTAACTCAGATTTATATGAAAACCAAATAATGTCTTTGCACACTTTTATACACTGAATTTCCTAGAAAAGTAATTACCATATTTGAGGGAAACTTAGAATTTGTTTGTTTTGGAACTTTGCCAAGAGTTGGTCACCATTTTAGAAAATCCTATCACTGATAGAAGCACTGCACATATAAGTTGAGTCACAAATGCAAAACTCCCGAATCCTCTACCTTTGTAGCTATCACACTCATGGTGAATTTGCCTAGGAGGGCAGGCATCTGATCTCCATGAACTTTTCTGGCATAGTCATGCCCATGCATTTATGTATGAGATGCATATTATTTAAATTATTATCTTTTTATTTGTTTTGATCTTCTGATCTAACATAGAAAACTTATAAACTGAGATTGGTTTTAGATAAGCTTATGGGTCCCTGATTGAAACCCTCAAAAAATTTGAAGATTATTGGCAAGGATAGCCCAAAGCCAATGATTTTTATTTCTGTGGAATTTATGCCTACCAGTTTGACCTGGGCTGTTATGTTACTGCTTTCAACTGGAGGATTGTCCGAGTTGGAAGATCCGAGGTGGTTTCACTCCCCTGACTGGCAGGTGGTGCTTCCTGTGGGCTGGGGGACTTTGATTCTCTACCACATAGTTTCTCACCCTCCTCCACATTCAAGCGACTTCATCACATGTCTTAGGGTACTGTTCCCAAAGAATGAAGGCAGAAACTGTAGGGCCTCTTGCGACCTATGACCCAGAACTCAG